AATGGAACAGGATGGAAAGCCCAGGAACAAACCCACAAATATACGGTCAATTAATCTTCAATAAAGCAGGAAAGAATATCCAGTGGGAAAAGGACTGTCTTTTCAACAAATGGTGCTGGGAAAACTAGACAGTTATATGCAAAAGAATGAAATTGGACCACTTTCTTACACCACACACAAAAATAAATTCAAAATGGATTAGGAACCCAAATGTGAGACCTGAAACAATAAAAATCCTAGAATAGAGCACAGGCAGTATTCTCTCTGATATCAGCTATATCAACATTTTTCTAGATATGTCTTGTGAGGCAAGGGAAACAAAAGCAAAAATGAACTATTGGGACTACATCAAAACAAAAAGCTTCTGCACAGCCTAGGAAACTAAAAGACATCCTACCAAATAGGAGAAGATATTGCAAATGACATATCCAATAAAAGGTTAGTATCCAAAATATGTAAAGAAGATATGAAACTGAACACCCCAACCAACAAATAAACTGACTAAAATGGGCAGAAGACATGAACAGACATTTCTCCAGAGAAGACATCCAGATGGCCAACAGACACATAAAGAGATGCTCAATATCACTGATCATCAGGGAAATGCAAAAACTACAATAAGATATGAGATATCACCCCATACCTGTCAGAATGGCTAAACTCAACAGCCCAAGAAACAACAGGAGTTGGCAGGGATGTGGAGAGAAAGGAACCCTCTTGCACTGCTGGTGGGAATGCAAACTGGTGTAGCCAATGTGAAAAACAGTATGGAGGTTCCTCAAAAAATTAAGAACAGAACTACTCTACAATCCTGTAATCACACTACTGAGTATTTACCCAAAGAATACAAAAACACTAATTCAAAAGGATATATGCACTCCTATATTTATTGTAGCAGTATTTACAAAGCCAAATTATGGAAGCAGCCCAAGTGTCCATCAAGAGATGAATGGATAAAGAACTTGTGGGTATATATACACGATGGAATATTACTCAGCCATAGAAAAGAATGAAATCTTGCCATTTGTAATGACGTGGATGGAACTAGAGAGTATTATGCTAAGTGAAATAAGTCAGTTAGAGAAAGACAAATACCATATGATCTCACTAATATGTGGAAGTTAAGAAACAAAATGAACAAAGGAAAAATAAAAAAGAGAGAGACAAATCGAGAAACAGACTCAACTATAGAGAAGAAACTGATGGTTACCGGAGGGGAGGTGGATGAGGGGCTGGGTTAAATAGGTGAAGGGGATTAAGAGCACACTTATGGTGGTGAGTACGGAGTAACATACAGAATTGTTGAATCACTATATTGTATACCTGAAACTAATATGACTCTGTATGTTAACTATATTAGCATTTAAAAACTTAAAAAAAGAACAAAACTCCCACACATTTTTTAAAAAATGAGAAACGAAAAGGAAATACCAAATAGGGAAACAGTAAATATTACTTATTGCACATGATATTATTTTCACCAGCTAGACTCAAGGACCTGACCTTTACTGCCCACTTGCTTGTACCCACCAACCTTTGTCCCACATTTCTCTTTAAACTCTTCTTTTCAGCTTATATCTTAACTCAGGCAAAAGACCTAATGAACATAGCATCCTGGTGATGGAAAACAAAACTACACCTCAAGCAATAATGACTGCCCGGTTGATGAGCTCCAACTGGCCCAAACCACCCAGACCAGCGTGAGCTAAACCCCCAACTGACATCTGTGCAGATGGACCATGCAGTGACCCATGGAGTGACCAACAGTTACCTTTACCTCATTATAATATTAAAACCTCGACCCAAGGAGAAGCACAGGCCTCATTAACATAATATGCAATGTATGTATAGGCATGCTTCCTTAAGGTGCATGTGTGACCTTACGCCTCCTCCTTTACATACATGACAAAACTCTCTTTCTGAATATTTATCCTAACCCTAAGTAAAATAAACCCATTTATCCTTGTTCTGAGAGTCATGGCTTTGAAAATTATTCCCCGTGATTTCCTTATTTGCTGCAAATAAAGTTTCCTTTGTGTGACAACTCTACCTGGTGTAATTTCCATCTGCAACTCACTAAGGAGTAAACCCATGTTAGTTTGGTTTCAATATGATATAATTGTGACCAAATGTATCAGTCGTATCAACAAACGTGAGTGGGATTGAATCACCTATTAAAAATGTTTAAGGGGCACCTGGCTGGCTCAGTCAGAAAAGCATGTGACTCTTGATCTCAGGGTTGTGAGTTTGAGCCCTAATTTGGGTATAGAGATGACTTAAATGAATAAAAAAAACTGTTCAAATTGGCTCATAAGGGAAAAGGCAACCATATGCAGCATGGAAGACACACCTAAAACACAGAAAGAGTAAAAGTAAAAGGGTGGATAGAGATATAAAATGCAATTGGAAACTATAAAAAAGTATGGATTGTGATGCTATCAGACAAAGTAGGATTCAACCCCAAAAGCATTATGTAAGACAAAGAAGGAACTTTATATTGCTAAAGACTCCATTCTATCAATGAAATATAAAAATCATAAATATGTATGTACCAAATAACAGAATAACTGCTTATATAAGACAGAAACCACAGTAGATGTAAGGAGAACTAGAAACACACTAAGAACTGTACACTTAATTTTCTGTATAAGCCAAGAGGACAAAAAAAAAAAGATATAAAAGATTTAAACAAAATAAAGAATATATTAGATCTTTCAGATAATAGAGACTATATCTTCTCAAGTGCACATGGAAAATTCATAAAAGTTGATAATAGGGCAAAAATAAAAGAGTAGTTTTAAAAAATGTGGAATACTACAAACAATACTCTTTGATCACAAGTTAAACACAAAGTAAAAAAGAAAAAGGGACGCCTGGGTGGCTCAGTTGGTTACATGTCTGCCTTTGGCTCAGGTCATGATCCAGGGTCCTGGGATCGAGCCCCACATTGGGCTCCTTGCTCAGCGGGGAGCCTACTTCTCCCTCTGCTTGCCGCTTCTCCTGCTTGTGCTCTCTCTCTCTCTGTCTCTCTGACAAATAAAAAAATAAAATAAAATAAATCCTCCCATCTGGAAATTAAAAATATCTACTAAATATCTCTGGTGTAAAATTACAGAAATTCTGAAAAATGTGGTAAAATGAAATGTAAAGAAATGTAAAGAAAATGTAAAGAAATGTAAAGAAAACACTACATATCAAAACCAAGAACACTTAAAATAGCTTTCAGAGAAAAATGTATAGCCATAAAGAGAAAATGGCTGAAAATGAATGAAATGAATGAAAATGAATCCCCAGCTCAAATAACATTGACAAAATTCAACACTGATTTACGATTAAGAACTCTGAGAAAATAAGGAATCGAAGGGAACTTCTTCGCCCTGATAAGGACATCTACAAAAAAACTGCAGCTAGCATCATACTTGATGGTAAGACCTGAATGCTTTTCCCTTAGGATCAGGAACAAGACAAGGATGTCTGCACTCATGATTTCCGTTTGACATTGCACTGGAGGTTCCAGGGAGTGCAATAAAGTAAGAAAAACAAATAACAGATATCCAGACTAGAAGGGAAGAAGTAAAACTTTATTCACAGAACACATGATGGTTCATGTAGAAAACCCAACAGAAAGTACAAAAAAGTTACTAGAACCAATAAGCTAGGCTGCAGGGTACAAGGTCAAAATCAAATATCAATCATACTTCAGTATACCAGCCACAAATAATTAAAAATTAAAATACAAAAATACCATTTATAATAGCATAAAATAAAAGTATTTATGGTTAAATTTGATTGAAGATGTGCCAGACTCAAGTGATGGAAGGTATAAAACACTGTTGAGGGAAATTAAACAAGGCCTAAATAATTGAAGAAATAAACCACACTCACAGATCAGAAAACCTGATTTTGTTAGGGTAATAGACCTCCCCAAATAGATCAATAGATTCAATGTCATCCCAGCCAAATACCAGATTTTTTTTTTCTGTAGAAAGTTACAGCCTGATTCTAGAATTTACAAAGATCCGAAAATAGATAAAGCAAGTTTGAAAAAGAAGAAAAAAATTGGAGAATTTATGCTACCTAATTTCCTAACTTCAAAACATAAATCTACAGTAATCCAAAGGTGTGGTGTTGGCATAAAGATAGACACACAATGGAAAGGAACAGAATAGAAAGTATAGAATATACCCATGTATATGTAGTTAATCAATTTTGGAAAAGGAGCCAAGGTTATTCAATGGGGAAAAAAAAGATTTTTTTTTTCAACTAAAGGGGCTAGAATAGATGACTCAATCAATAATGGGTTTTCTAGGTATTACTTTATAAATGAATAAAACATTAGGTTTTGAGAGTTAATAATTTGCTCAATGTCACCCGGATAAAATATTTGAAGCTGAATTGTTTGATTCCAAAATCTGCGGCTTTTCACCACTGGGTTGTCTCTTATTACAAAAGCTACTGTTTGCCACTATTTACTTTATAAAAGCATGCCCTTTATTCCTAATTGATTTCAAGCTCTTCAAGGTTCTGTATCTTGTATTTCTTAGTATCTTTGTTGTGAAGTGTAATTGTTGATGGTAATGATATTATATATGTTAGTTTGATTTTGTGGTAGACAGGTTATAGATAAAATATATACAAAGACAATCCTCTATGAGAAGGAGCACAATGACAGAGGAATATGGTTCTTAACCACTGGGTGCTAGGAGTCCTCTCCTTGCCTTCTCTGTGTTACACAGTCATCATCACTCTTGAATTCCCAATCACTAGTGGGAATGTGCTCTCTCATGCTCACCAAATATATATTTTAGAAGATAGATTTAAAAGTCTTGTTTCCCAGTTGAAGTGAGTACATTGACTTTTACCTCTTTCCCAGTGTCCTTTGGAAATATTTTCCAGAAGGCTAATTATAGAAACAATTCTCTTTTCAGGTGCAAACTGACTGAGCACAGTGGTCATGGGTCTTAGTTACAGCCTCATGGGTTTTATTTGGGCCAACTTACCTGAGTTGAGGGGTGGGGGTAGAGCCCACTCGATGAAAGGATGCCGGTCAAAGGTGTTGGCCCTCTGGCACTTCTGCACGTCTCCGTCATTTTGGATCATGTCCACAATCTCCTGTGTCCAGGTTGTGCCTAGAGCATTAGTTATTGTCAATTTCATCCACTCACTGCACAATTTAATTCATTTCCTTGATTATTTATGTATTCAGTAAAATTCACATATGCTGAGTGTTAAGCGGAATCAGCTCACTTATCACCTCCTCTTTAATCCCCAGTGCCTCACATAGGGCTTTGCACCTAGTAAATGTAGTTTGAGCAAATGCGTATTGAATCAAACGAATGTAGGGTGATACAAAGATGAATTAACCACTGTCCCTGTCCTAACAAGTTTACAATCTTTTTGGAGGAGATAAGTTAGGACAGACACTACCTCTTGCCTAGCTAATATCCATTCTTCCCTTCTTTCTCAAATTAATAAATTTTTAGCTGAACATATAGCTACTTGCCTCAAAGGTAGTATTTACCAGTCTTTCTTACATGATGGGGCCATGCCATTTTGGGAAGTTGTCATTCAAGAGAAGGAACACGACCTTATTCCTCCCTTCCTACCTTCTTGCTGCTTTTTGGAATGTGTGCAGAAAGTTAGAAAGAGCCAGGGTCTTTGATGATCAACATAGCCACCATTTCAGCCCTGACTGCTAATCTCCAGACTGCTTTTTCTTTTGGGTTTTCTGACACTTGTAGCCAAATTAAATCCTAATGGATACAGAAGAGAAGTACAAATAGGCATATAGGTCAGTAAAGAGCTAGACTCTGCTCACTGTCCACCAGATATCCATTTTCCTTTTTCCACCAAAAGTATTTGGTGTTTCTCTGGCTCTTAGTCAAACCTGCTGCTCACTGATAAATATGACATATACACAGATAACTAGAAGATGAACAGTGTACAGTTAGAGACAAAAAGGATGTGCAAAGGGCTACAGGAGTTTGGAGGAGGAGGGCCATCTTGGTGCAGAAGGGGTCAGTAAGGCTGAGTTCAGATGGTGGCTTTGGAGTGAAGAATTGAAACAGTTCCGGAATGTTCATCTGCATTAAGAAGCCAGGGCATCCCAGGCTCCCAGGCGGGGGGGGTGGGGGTGGGGGCCTCAGGAACCAGGATAAAGACAAGTCACATTTCCAAATTGGTAAGTGTAAGTGGACTCACAGGGGGTAAGAGGTGGTGGGAGAGGTGAGGGAATAAGGCTGGAGACTTGGGGACCATCCTGAGGGGCCTTGAGATTGATAATTTCAAAGGTGAGCTGAAAAATTCCTTCTCTGAGGTGCAATGCAAATTCAAGTTCATTTCTAACCAGGAGAAGTGTCTAGTACAAACCAGACAGAAAAGGAGATACTTGAAGAATTGAGCCCTGCTGACAGGAAGTGCCTGCCCTAGTTTTAAGTAATGCTAAGTCGTGAGAAGAGAGTGAGGCTAAGGAGCGACTTCCCAGACACAGAGGACAGAAACAGTCCAAGGAAGGTTGGGAGAATGTGGTGAACTGACTCTTTTCTGAAATCTTTCTGGTTATGAATACCGAGAGTTCCTCTTACGGAGTTAAATGGCCGGTGAGAGAACTTCCCAAACTAGTTACAGCTTCAAGTTCATCACCTCACTTGGTCGCATGGCTTGATGTTACAAATGCAGGTATTGCAGGGGGATTGTCATTCTATTGGCCTCCCCGGTTAGGATATTCTTTGTTCCTCCACCCCTGCGCAAGCCTCGAAACCCCTTGCACTTGCAGACCCTCGCTTTTGTCACAGCCTCCTCTTCATTTTATAAGATCCTGGTAAGTGTCACCTCCCCTTTCCCAGATCCTTCTGACTGTACTTGTGTGGGTGTTGGACCCAAAGCTATTAGAACGTTTCATATTGGGGTGAAAGCCTTTATTTCCACATTGGTGTCCCCCCACTAAGAGATGCTTCTTTATGGGCAAGGGTTGTGCTCACTTCCTAGATTGCTTGGCTGATGGGAACCAGGCTGGGTTGGCAAGATTACTGTGAGAACCTCTGTATAATTTTTTAGACGCTGCATTTAAATAATCTTGTAATTCATTCAGTCCTTTGAGGATCTGGGATTCTACCTAAGTAAACAGGAGGACCTTGGATCCTGAGGGATTGGAGCTCAGAAGCAAGTCTGGTTTCATTTCTCCCAGGGTCAGGCCTGGTGAAAATCTGCATTTTTATATATTTTTTTAAACTTTTTATTGTTATGTTAATCACCATACATTACATCATTAGTTTTTGATGTAGTGTTCCATGATTCATTGTTTGTGCATAACACCCAG